GTGAGGCAACTAGGATCTGGGCCGTGGTCATTTGGAATCAGAGTTTACAGTGTCTCTGATCTCTCTACAAAATACTTGGTTAAAAATAGCTCAGTTGACATTGCAAGACCTGTAAAGGCTCTGATGTAGCAAAGCACTTGCATCTACGCTTAGCTGTGAGGTTCTGGTTAGTCCTCTTTAAGACCATAAATTTTTCACAGGCTTCAAAGAAAATCCCACACCAATGTTCTTCCTTGTACCAGGGCCAAAACTGTTCATGTTAGAAGTAGAACATAACGGATTTCAAATTTGTGAAGAATTTAAAGGCTTTTAACTTCTGCCATGTTAAAGAATTTATGTGAATTAATTCCACAAGTTATTATAGAGCAATTCAATTAATAATGGATCTGCTTTTCATTATGACGAGTAAGCAAAGATAAACATCTTCTGTATCAAAGCTTATCTTTTAAAAAGGATAAATTAGCTATAACACACTTAACTACTTCCAGGACATGAAATGAACACGTATTGTTCCATTAGTTAATTTTGGATCACTAAATTAAAGGCAGTTCAAAAGGAGTATAATCTCATCAGGATCTCTCTTTGTTCAGTCTGTGGTGACGTTTCACGAGGTACAATAAATACTGTTTCTTGTGGAGCTAAATACTATTAGGGTTATAAAATGGGTTTGGTTTAGTGCATTTCATGCATCAGTGTGTTACATACCACAAGGGTAAGAAAATTTTAATCTCATATTTGCAGATGCAGTTTTGTACTCCTGCATATCTTGCAGGCTATTGGGATGCTTGATTAAAACTACCAAAAACTCCAACAATAAAACAGTAAATGCAGTAAATAAACAATAAAATAACATCTGGATTATACTTTTTATCTATGAAAACATTATGGATGTGTATGTATCAGTATATTAATCCAGGCCACAGCATAGCCCTGTCATCATCTCTCCTGTGAAATGAGCAAGCACACCTGCTGGCATGGTTTTGGCCAGCTAGTACCATCCGTAAGCTTGGACATATTTGGGGTTAGGACTGGCCATCACGCATTCTCAAAGGCAGCTGTGATTTGGCCATTCTGCCTGTGGGGGTACAAGGCAATTTTGCCATCTTGATGCAGTGGGACACATAAGTTGTTCCCAAGACCAGAGAATAGGCTTGACCTGTTTCATGTAGTAGTATAGATATAGTTCTGAGGAACAGAAAATAAAATAGGATTTAAAAGCATAGAATTAGATTCTACCTACTGCTTAATGTAGTCTTTGTTTACTCAAGCACTTGGGTCTTTTTACAGCATGTAGCATAACTGCCTAAATTTAATTTACAGTGCAAAGTAACGATACAAATAACTTCAGTGGCTGCAAAACAAAATTCTTAGTGTTTTTCAGTGAGTGTCTCCAAGGCTTCTATGTTTTCAGAGAAGAAGCAGCAGCAGCAGAAAAGTGTTTTTCCCTTCTAAAGCTTCTGTAGTTCAGGCTGAGGCTTTTGTGGTCACACCTAGTATCAGAAAGTGTCAGCCTTTTGGAGAAAGAGGCACTTTATTTAAAGTTAGCAGAAGAAGCAGGTTTAAAGGAAAAATTACAAGGCAGACCAATGCTGTGAACAGTGCTGGTAGACTCTTATGGAAACACAGAGAGATATTTGGGCAGTTGTGTGACATGCAGGAGAGACCCCAGGCTGTCACGTCATTACTTCAAGGACCTGATCCCACCTCTCTGGCTGTTGCTGACAGTGTTTGCCCTCTCTATTGCCATGAAAATCAGTGGGATTTTCCTCAAAACCTCTAACCATGAGTTAATTGTGTTGAACTGGGACCATGGAGAAGGCCACAAGCAATGTCAGGATGAGAGGGACCATGTTGGGAGTGTAGTTCTGTATGGGTAGTCTTCCTCAAAGGAGGAAAGCTCGCTGCCTTTCCTTGCAGTGCCTGAGTATCTGCAGGGAGAGGCTGACCATGGATGGATGGACAGAAAGACTGCATATGGATGATTATATGCAGAAAACGAGCTTCATTTCCTACCAGCTTGCACCTTGCACTGTCTGTTTTGTATCAAAACAAAGGCAGTGGGCCATGTAATTCAGCTACAGCAGGTCAGCTTTTCACAAGCAGTGCCCCAACACTGACAGGGATTTTTTGTTCCTTGTGGAGATTTTTTCCACAAGACAAATCTGAACTCCTGTATGTCTCTCCCATGTAAGGACATTTTTGATTATGCTTTTCCTCAGTTAAACAACTCATGGTGAGGAGGGGTCAATTTTAATTCACTGATGGGTAAGATTTCTCCTATACCACTTTTTATAGAGATAGAGAGATGCTCTAATGCTTTAAGAGTTACAGCCTAGTGCTAAAGAATAATAACGTGTAACCCTTAAGGACTAAATTATATAAGGTGCACATTAAATCACATTCTCTGCTAGTAAATTAATCTTTCTTTTTTTTTTTTTTCCTTGCAGTTTTGAAGGATACAATCATACGTTGTCCTGGACTTGAGCAGTAAAGGATAAATTTGATCCCTGGCTGTCTTGTCAACTCTTCACTGTGGTGGAAAAATGGTCGCCTAAAATAAACCCTTTGTTATGCTGCTAAAACTGCCTTGGAATCCGAAATCTGTTGTGGTTTTTAAAACACAACCCCCAAAATGTCAGAACCCGACCCTTCATCTGGCTTTGTAGGAAACATGGAAAACGGGACTTTTCTGGAGCTGTACCCCACATCCCTCTCAACTTCAGTGGATTCATCACCTGGCCGTTTATCCAATGTCTATGTCTATGTTTCTATATTCCTTAGCCTCTTAGCTTTTCTCCTTTTGCTACTGATCATTGCACTTCAGAGGCTGAAAAACATCATTTCTTCCAGTTCATCCTACCCAGAGTACAATAGTGATGCTGGAAGTTCTTTCACTAATTTAGAGGTTTGTAGTATTTCTTCCCAGCGCTCTGCTCTCTCAAACCTTTCTTCATGAAACTCAGTGAAGGGAAGCACATGGGGCATGGAAGAGCTTTCTCTAGTTTCTTGGGGAGGTAGTGCATGCAACATTGGCCTTAGAAGACTATTATGAAGAGGTGGCTTTTAAAATTCCCTTAGTTTTCTTTTTTTTCCCCCCCTTTCCTTTTCTAGAAATTTCCCCTCTTAATAATGTTCTTTTTCATTTTGGACAATGGATAATGACACTTGATCATCATTTCATGCCTGTAATAGTGATGCTGTCATTTTCTCACACATCTCTGGTGTTCATCAAGAGTATTCCTGCCAAACTGTAATACGGTTCTTATTGGATGTGTCATTTTTCTGCTCCAGTTGTGACATCTTCCCTGCTTTTGTATCAGTAATGTGCTGACTCCTTTCTCCTTTTATAATTAGATAAGGACTTCTGGATGAATCCCTGTCGCAAAAGTATTTTAAAAAATCAGCTTCAGTTATGACTATTTGGACAATTTAAAGTTGTTGATATCGTTTCTTCGTTTTTTTAATTTTCGCATCTTTTTTTTTTTAGTATTTATTGATGTTTATAAAACACAACTAAAACCCATTTCTTGAAGAATGTTGCTTTTGTTTATTTGTACACCCAACTTGTTCTGTATAAAGTCTCTGTATTTCAGGTTTTGAGTCTTTGGTTGACTTAGTAAAGCCACTGCAATAACGATGCTCACTGCTGAGCGTGTGGAGGTATTTTTGGATCCTGTTGCCTCTCCTCTGCCTGGTGCCTTGTTCCTCCAGGGGCAGCTTTTGCTGTTGAATCGTAAATATCACACAACTCTTTCACATCCTTCACTGATCTTACTGCCTTGTTGTTTCTTTTAAAAGATCTGAATACAGCACCTACAGCAGCTGAGTAGCTCCTAAACTGTCACAGGGTGTTTTGTCCTTATGTGAGCAGGGTCAGCAGGGGCAGAAATTGCTTGAACTGGTGAGGACTTTCTGGGACAGATTTTGTCCTGTAATTTCACAAATGCACAGTGGTGTGGAAGGAGAACATGAAGATCTGTGTAATGGCCAGGCAGACCCGTGCTCTGCCCTTCAGGAGATGCAAGGTGTACCTGCAGAGGGTAAGAAGAGATGGGAAGAAAAAAAGCAGTAGCTCTGCCCCTTTTCCCCATCAATACAAGCAGAGGACAGAGATGAAGAGGTGAGAAATGCATGATGTTTCACAACCTCACTGCTCTTTGCGGTGCCATAGTCTGGGTTATGACTTCCTGATGCCCAAAATGGAACCCCGAACTTGATTTCTGCAGTAAAATAGCTTGCAGCATTGTGAGCAGGATTCATTGTGGTCAGCTAGGAATTAAATCAAGCCAAACAATCAAAGAAATTCTAAATGCCAAGTGTGACCTGCTGGGACTGCAGCCCCACACTGCAGTGTGGTTCCTTGCAGTCCATATTGCACTATGAGCACAGCCTGATCCTGCCACTCAAGTCCATGCAAATTTTGTTCTTCTGGCAGAATCCGAGTCACTGGAGAGCCCCAAGGAAGGGTGTGGATATGTCACTGCTCTTTCTGTTGCTGGCTTAATGGCACACATAGCTCTGGGCAATGGGATGGTCCAAAGAGGACCCCAGGGTGACACCTCCCCCTGGGCATGGCACTACTGCCCAGCAGGTCAATGGGTTAGGGAGCTGGAGAAGACCTCCTGACCACATTTGTTACAAATACCCTCCCAGTGAGCTGTCAGTGTGTTCATCAGCAAGACACATTCTGCCATTAACTACACAGGCTTTAAAAGGGAAATCTGGAAATCCCAGTGTAAATACAATCATTAAAAAGCAACTGTTCACTGCCAAGCATACAGATGATGCTGGAGTTGGTGTTTTCACTTTTGAAACATGAACCTGCAGTGTGGTAAATGGTAATGACTTACAGTGCCAATCAGCTCTTTAGAAAGGGCAGAGAACTTGCTGACTAATGAAGAACTTAAGCCTGTGGGTTCTCTGACCCAGACTGGTTTGGTGGATATATTTAGTCTTTGGAATATTTTATTCATCTAAACAAAAATTTCTTGCCAGTTACTTTTCACTTTAATTAATGATAGGCCTTGGGAAAAGACTTAATTATTTAAAAGGGATCAGGACACTTTATTTCCTTTATGAAAGCTCTTCCAAAACCCAAACCTGTAACAGAATGTGTTTGTGTGTTGGTTGTTTGATAAAAACAAATTAACTGTAAATCAAGGTAAAGAAACTGTTCAACTATCTTCTCTTACTGACAAAGTTGTAAATTTATTGCCTCCTTTGCAGTGGATGCAGGAATTTTATCAAATTCAGGCATGAGACCACAGGCTGGAAGGGGTATTTGTTACCTGCAATATTTCCCATTGCTAGTTTATGCTTGCAGAGATAGAGAAATTTAATATTAAATGCAGCCTGTTGAAAACCTAGGCATGTTGTTCAATGAGCTGTTGTCAAACTTGACAGCAAAAAGTATTCTTTCAGCCTGTGCAAAGTAGCAAAGGTCACTGAAACCACACGTTTGATTTTGGTTTGTAGGGTACTAGATGCTATTAATTTTTTCACGCTCTGCAGTGACATATGGTACTTCATACAGTCATCGTGCTATCAGCTGAGTTGCACCTGTTCTCCTCAGGACAGACTGGAGTAGAAAAAAGTTGAATCCAACAGAACAGCATCAGGAGAAGCCACAGGCGAAAAGCACCATGGTGGTTTTGAGGATTACTAATTCTTCAAGAAAATAAAAAATAAGGAAAAAAAAAAAACAAACCAACCAACCAAACAAACAAAAAAAAAAAACAGCCTGACAACCTGATCTTGAGTTAACTTGAGAACACTGGAACAGGCTTCCTAGAGAGGTGGTTGATAACCCAAGCCTATCAATGTTTAATAACATTCTTTAACTTTTAGTCAGTCCTGAACTCGTCAGGCAGTTAGACTAGATCATTGAAGGTCCCTTCCAAGTGCAATTTGTGTTCTATTTTCTATTCTATTCTATTCTATTCTATTCTATTCTATTCTATTCCTTTGGGCTGGAGTTGCAGTAACCTCAACAGGCTGGAGAAATGGGCAGAGAGTAATCTCATGAAGTCCAGCAAGGGAAAATGCACAGCCCTGCACTAGGGGAGAAGTAATCCCAGGCACTAGTACAAGCTGGGGAAAACAGCTCTGAAGAGGAGGACCTGAGGGTCCTGGTGGACACTGAGTTAAACAGGGGCCATCAGTGCACTCTTGCTGCAAAGGAGGCCAGGACCACCCCAGGCTGCATTAGGAGCACTGCCAGCAGGTGATCCTTCCTCCACCCAGCACCAGTGGGACATCTGGATTGTTGTGTCCAGCTCTGGGCTCCCAGCAGAAGAGAGATGTGCAGCTACTGCAATGAGCCCAGTGCAGGGCTACTAAGATGATTAAGGGACTGAAGCATCTCTCATATGAGGAGAGGCTGAGAGAACTGGGACTATTCAGTCTAGAGAAGGCTCCAGAAGATCTCATCAATATATAAATACCTCATGAGAGGTAGGAAGAAGCAGCCAGGCACATCTCAGTGGAGCCCAGTGACAGGACTCCTGTCCTGCAATGGCACAAACTGAAACACATGAAATTCCATCTGAACACAATTTTACTGTGAGGGTTGTCAACCTCTGGCACAGGTTGCCCAGAGGCTGTGGAGTCTCCACATGTTGACCTTGGCAACCTGCCTGCAGCTGACTCTGCCTTGGGCAGGAGAGCTGGACCAGATGATCTTCAGATGTTGCCTATCCATGCTGTGGTTCTGTGATTCATGTCAGCACAAAAGCTCAGCAGCTTCTAGCTCCCTGCCTCCTCCTAATGTGTTTTCTTGTCTCTGGAGCTGAGTAAACAACATCTTTATTAGGGGGTGATTTCTTACTGAAGAGCTGCTCTGTTCCTCCTCCTGCCTGCAGCCACACTCTTCTCCAGCTTTTCCACTTTGTTTTTGTGGTGTGGGCTCACATTTCACAGTCAGCTTTTGCCGGGAGCTTCTTTTGTTTTTACTAAGCTCTCTGACTGCAACAGTGCCATTAACTTTGGTAATATATGACTCCAAGACTGCATGGCTTCAGGCAGTTGCAATGTATACCTGAAAGTCTGTAGAAAGAAAAATACCAATAAGGGATGGATAAGAAAAAGAGTTTCTGGATCATGCAGGAAAAAAATTATTTTGCATTGGTTCAATAAATATGATCCATTTAAGTGTATTTAATCGAAGAGATTTTATTCTAACAAATTAATTTTCTACTTTTAGCACTTCTCTGTCTGCCAGCTCACCTGAAAGGTTTGTCTCTGTAAGCTTAGAATCTCATCCAGATTTTCTACAAATCTCGTTTAACTTGGGAACAGTTCTTACTCCTCTTCCCTTCAGCTTCTTCACACTTCTCTCTCACTGTCTACCCCTGTGGCACTCTGGCAAGGCTGGATGCCCATGGAGCATCACGCTTTGCTGTATGTAGCTCTTTTTCCTTCAGAGTCTTTTTTAGGGTGTTTTTTTTGGTTGGTTGGTTGGTTGGTTTTTTTCGTGAGGTCACTGGGAAAGACATCTGTGTGGGAAGGTTATTTACAAAGCCCATATACCTCCCATTCTTCTTGATGGGACCATTTTTGCTGCATCTGTTGTGGCTGTCTAAGGAGACATTATGAATGACAGCCAAGCTGCTGCCCCAGCTGAATGACCTTTTCACATCCACAGCCCTTGTACACTCCCAAAGACAAGGGCCCCACTCTGTGGCTGCAGGAGAGGATGACATACTCCAAATTCATGCTAAAGTACTCTGAAGTCCTTTTTCTTCTCCAAGAAACGTGGGCGTGCTCCTACCTATATCTTTGGTGTGCCACAGAGCAGCCCTCAAGCTGCTTCCCAGTCGATGGACTATGTGATGCCAGCCAGTGTGACGTGCCAATGGCATCCACCTGCAATCACAGCCCCTCTCACACCACAGCTCCGGGCTCTGCCAGGCTGCCAATAATCAGGGTGGCCCAAAACTGGCCAAGGAGCTGACCCAG